CGGCTAGTCTTAACCCCGCGAGCAGGGCCTCGTATTCCGCTTGGTTGTTTGAGGTAGGAAAGGAGAGGGCGAGGGAGTGCTCGATCAAGGCACCTTCCTCGTTCTCTAAAAGGATCCCGACACCACTCCCGGACGGGCTGGATGCCCCGTCGATGAAGATGATCCACTTGTGCTCTTTTCCTACGGGGGGATTGTGTGTGGTCATCTCCGCGATAAAGTCGGCCAAGGCTTGTGCCTTTAGGGCTTTCCTGCTCTCGTACTGAATGTCGAATTCCGAAAGTTCCAAGGACCACTTCAACATTCGACCTGCCATGTCTGGCCAACCCAGTAGTTATTTTACTAGCTGGTTTGTTCGTACTATGATCGTGTGCGCGAGGAAGTAATGTATGCGCCTTCTTGCTGCGTTGACGAGGGCTAAAGCTACCTTCTCTATCTGTTGGTATCTGATCTCGAGTCCTTGAAGCACTTTGCTTGTGAAATAGACGGGTTTTTGTCTACCGGGCGTCTCGCGAATGAGGGCTGCGCTGACGGCTTCGGCCGAGACGGCCAGGTACAGGAACAAATGTTCCCCGTCGACGGGTCGCGATAACACGGGCGGTTGGGATAGACTTTGTTTGAGATGGAGCAGCGCCTGCTCGCATTCCTCGGTCCATTCGAAGGTTGCTTCCTTGCGGAGGAGCTTGAAGAAGGGGAGGGCGTGCTGAGCGGATCTCGCAACAAAGCGGGATAACGAGGTGAGCATGTCAATCAGGACTTGTATGGATTTCTTTGATGTAGGCGTGGGGAGTTCGGAGAAAGCTTGAAATTTGTCGGGGTTGGCTTCGATTCCTTGTTCTGTCAAGTAAAAGCCGAGGAATTTCCCCGCCTTGACCCCGAACGTGCATTTCTCGGGATTAAATCTCATTTTGCATTGCCTTGCTTGAGCAAAGACTTCCCTGAGGTGAGCGGCATGGTCGGTGTCTGCTCGGAATTTGACGATCATGTCGTCCATGTATACCTTGAGCATATCTTCGATTTGGTTATGGAATACTTTGTTCATCACCCGTTGGTAGGTTGCTTCTGCATTTTTTAGGCCAAAGGGCATTACGTTGTAGTAATAGTTGCCCGAGCTGGTCATGAAAGCGGTGCAATGCTTGTCGCTTATTGCCATTGAAATTTGGTTATAGTCTGAGTAGGCGTCCATGAACGATAGTATTTTACAACCGGCCGAGTTATCGACCAGCATATCTATGTTAGGTAAAGGAAATGCATCCTTCGGGCAAGCCCAATTAAGATCAGTATAATCAACGCACATTCGCCACTTTCCAATTTTTTTCTTGACAAGTACAACATTTGACAGCCAGGTTGAATACCGGGCTTCAGAAATAAAATTTGCCTCTAGGAGGTCTTTTGCAGCTTTTTCAGTAGCCTTCGTTTTCTCCGGAGACTGCCTATGTCTACGTTGTACTACTGCCCTAGCGGCGGGGTCTATGGCGAGACGGTGACAGGCGACCTCGGGGTCGAGTCCGGGCATTTCCGCAGCGCTCCACGCGAAGAGGTCCGCATTCTCGTGCAAACAGGCTTTTATTTGCTTCCTTGCTAAGTCGGGGAGTCTGGTGCCGATCTTCACTCCTCTGCTTGGGTCCTCTCCGAGGGGGACGAGTTCGAAGTCCCCGTCCGAAATTGGTCAGAGGGGGATTTGCTCGCCGCTGGGAGGTTCATCCTGGTCGAAGCGAGTGTCCAGGGATATTGAGTCGACCTCTGGGTGGGTTCTCTGCTCTTCTGCCTTGACGGGCTCTGTCCTCTGAGGCTCTGATCGTGTCATCGCAGCTCTCTTGGCGGGCCTTATGCTGGTGTCCACCGTATCGCGTCCCTTGGAGGCCGCGTTAAAATACCTTCGGGCAGCTGCTAGGTCCCCTTGGATGGTGGCGACCCGTGCCCTCTTGGTATAAAACTTCATTTTCAGATGAACTGTAGAGGGTACTGCGATCAGCTCCGCCAATGTCGGCTTTCCCATAATGCAGTTGTAGAGGGACGGGAAATCAATGACGAGGAAGCGCACCTTGACTTGCCTTGTTGTTGTATCCTCGCCGAATGTGACCATGAGCTCGACGTATCCCCAAGGCTTGAAAGTTGAGCCGTTAAAGCCCTGCAGGTCTGACCCCACGTAAAGTGAGAGGTGAGAGTCGTCGAGTTGCAGGGTTCGGAACAGTTGGCTGTACATTACGTCGACGAAACTTCCTTCATCGACGAGGACGCGGTGTACGTCAAAGTTGGCCATCCTCGCTCTGATCAGTAGAGGAATGACCGAATTGGGGGCCCCTCCGGAGAGCTCTTCGAGATAAAAGGTGATAGGTTCTGACCTACCCTTCACCTTTTCAAAAGTCACCGTTTGAGGGGGGGCCGTGTCGACCAACTCGTCCAGCTTCCTCTTGGCCGAATTTATGGTCAGGTCATTGAAACCTTTGCCATTGATGACCATGGCGGAGGGAAACTGCTCCCACCTGTTGTGCGTCGACAGCGGTTCTTGCATGTAGTCGGAGACATGTAAGTCCTCGGGTCTTGTGACAGAGAAGGCTGTTTGGATGGGGACCGACTCGTCAGATGGTCGGGCTTCCTCTTCCCCTTCTTTTGTCTCGCGGGCGTCGCGACGAGGAGCGTCGTTTCACCGGTACTGGGAGATTCTCCCCCCTTTTATGAGGGTCTCGATGGCGTCTTTGAGGTGGACGCAGTCTTCAGTCAGATGGCCATGACTCCTGTGGTACTGACAGTATTTGCTCCTGTCCACTCCGGGTTTGGCAGGAGCTGGTCGGGGACGCTTGACGCCGCCATCTTTGAAGTTTGTACTTGCACACTCCGCTAAGATGCGCTCGCGGGAAGCCGTGAGCGGAGTGTACTCTGTGAAATGCCCCGAGGGCCCCCTCTGTTCTCGGATGTCCCGGGGTTTGTCGTCTTTTCTTTTTTCCCCGACTCGTCGAGGAGCGATGGGCTCTTGGCGCGGGTTATTGTTGGATCCGTGATTCCTGGGGTCTCGGGCTCTGTTGGCCGCTTTCCTATCCTCGTAATCCATGTAGGCCATGGCCTTCTCGAGGAGAGCATCAAACGTTCGGGGTGGTTCGATACCCACAACCTTCCTGAATTCCGTACCGGGGAGAAGGCCCCTCTCCAACAGGCATCTCTTCATATGGTCCGTGCAAGGGACCTGGATGGCTTCTTGGTTGAAGCGGTTGATAAACTCTCTCAAGGTCTCATCGTGTCTCTAGACGATGGCCTCGAGCGCCGCTTCGGTCTTCGAATGTAGTCGAGACGCAGTGAATGAGCTGATGAACTGGTTCTTCAAGTTTCGCCATGAGGTAATTGACCCCGGGGCGAGACCCTTGTACCAGTCCATAGCTGCCTTCCTCAGGGTAGTGGGGAACAACCGGCATTTAATTGGTCCCCCGACGTTGTGGTAGTGCAGCATTGCCTCGAACCCGTCTATGTGATCGATTGGGTCAGCGACTCCGTCATATTCTTTCAGATGTGGAGGCTTCTCCATGCCTGGGGGGATGGGCGCCTCCATGATAGCTTGTGATAAGGGACCGCGGGGGTCGTCCTCATCACTTCGCTCCGAGCGGGACGGGGACCTGATGTATTGTCGGTCACGATGGCTCTAGTCGTGTTGGACGTTCCTCGAGGGATGTGTCCGTTGATAGGTTCCTCCGTGTCTGTCTCCGAAAGGTCTTCGTTCTTGCCGTGAAGGGCCAAGGTCGCGCCTTCTGGCCTCAATGAGTGGTTCTCTCTCCAAGGCGAGTCGCCCCCCGGGTTGTCGGGGCGACGGGCTTCGAGAGGTGTCGCGGTCTTGTCTCCGCGGGAGAGATCGGGGACATTCTTCGTCCTTCGAGGAGGTGGGGATTGAGGCCTCATGTGTCTCCTCGGGGGTCTTTTGTCGTCCTCTAGCACTCTCAGTCTTTCCCCTTGGGCAAAGATGAGATAGTTGGTCTGGTTGATTGTCGCGAACAGTGCCCTAGTCGTGGCGTCTGCCCCGGCAGGGACAGGAACCTCATGGAATTGGGCGGCTAGATAGTTGGGGGGAATTAGATTATCTTCTTCGAGCCGAGGAGGGACTGAGGAAGATGAAGCCGTGGCTCTGTCCCGGTAGTTAGAGGGCCCGAGGAGTATATTGTGGTCGGCGTTGCCGGCATTATCGGGGCCACCATTTTTGTCGACGAGGTTGTTGTTAGTTTCAACGACGCGGGCGTTCTGGTTGTCTTGTATCTGGTCAGCCATGGCGGTCGATGATGATTTTAGCTTTTGTCTTCGTGAGTTTGTAAGACGGGAAAGCTTAATTTCCCACAGACGGCGCCACTGATCGTACCTGATCAGAATTGGACCGTCACAGCTAGTTCGAACTAAATTTGAAGGAGGTGGGGGGTACCTGCAAGACACTCCGATGATAAAATGAGAGACAGAATGAGCAGGCGAATAGTATATAGACGTGAATGAATGAATATCTGACCCTCTTGAAGTAGAGGGTATTTATAGCCCCCAACGTTGGGCCAAGGTCCCTTCATTGGGCTGACCAAACAAGCCCAACAAATAGACTGCCAGGTTCCACGTGGAGTAGTGGGGACCTGCACGTGGTCCCTTACCTAAATGATGCTCTCCGTAGAAATAGAGAGGTGAAGACGCAGTCTTCTCCAGACCCTGAGGGCTCCGAGATATTCGGAGAGGTCGAGTCTACCCTACGAGGAGTGTGTCCGAACAAGTCCTGGATTGAAGCGTTCCTCACCTAGGATGCCCCTTGTCGGGGACAAGCGTTACGGTCAACGACGGACACAATTGCGTTCGACGACGCTCATGATCGAGGCGTATTGAGGATTCTAATACTCAACATGGTATGTTGTAAAGCTTGGATTGGGCCTCGCTGGTAATTGGGCTGCGGACAGGCCCAGTCCAGAACAAATACCATATCTTTTAAAATCAGTTTAGATACTATAACAATGATATCTACTTAATATCAAATCAGAAAAATACCAACTGGCATACTATCTTCCACGTACATTCATATTAACCATCCTTGACCATTCACAAACTCCAAACAACCTTAACAATATTTCCAACACCTCCTTGAAACCAAAACCAGAAGAAAACATCAACAACTTTCAAAACAACAACCAAAGCACTAATCATACATACATTCATATTAACCATTCACCATTAACAAAAACAATTTCCCCACAATACAAACACATCACCATAATCATGAAACCAAAACATAGAACACAATATCAATTCCAGAATAATTACAACAACTCAGTTCAAAAGCAGAAAATTAAAAAAAGGAGGAGAAATGGAGGTTTCCTATCAGTTGCAACCAACCCCCTTCGTCGGAATCATTTTGACGTTGCCAGACCACCTGCCCATCCAAAGCGAGAATGAATATAGCTCCCAAGGATCTCTTGCTTCAACAATACTTTTCGGCGGTATGCCAATGTCGTTCCATGAAGAGCTAGGATCTCTAAGAACCTGGGAAAAATTAATAAGAGTATTTTCTTTATGAATTCTGACTTGATATTTTAATATAAATAATACACTCATGGACAGAAAATAACATTGATCCAAGTTAGTATAATTTTCAAGCTATGGACAGAAAATACTGCAACTTACTGCTTGGCAAATATGCGACAGAGTTGATTCAATATCAATCACGTTTATCCACCATAAGAAATTAACCATGGCTTCCTTCTTATCTTCGAGAGCTTTCATTACATTTTCTTCTCCATTTTCTCCTCGATTTAGCTTCTTGAGTTCTTCTTGTATTTGAATTAGGGACACAGCTCCTACAGAAGCAGATAGGTTCCGTTAGAACCTGCCAACTTGGAGAAACCCTTTCAACGTGATGGATTAAACAATTATAATATATGGGAGGAGTCAAAATAGTTAAAATGAACCGCAGTGAACCAACACTGACAAATAAGTTAAAATGAACGCGACACAGAAGAGCAGTCAAAATAAATTCCTCACTATTACCTCAGTTTATTAGAGGTGGCAGAGTCTAAAGGAAGTGGCAAGCTCTATTTTAAAACACAACACAACATCAATTCTTAAAACTTAAATATTTATAACACAATCCATATAACAGGGTCTATCGGCAATCCTGTCGTGTCATCGCTGAAGTAAAAAATATACAAACTTTGCACGTAACTTCCATAATCTGATAAGACTCCACAGTGTTGCTCATAAGTTTAGCATGTTGACTCAAAATTTATATCCACTCTATCGTGTACAGACTGTTGACTCAAATTTTAAAAATTATACATCTTGCAATATACCAATGACAGTTAAGTTGAGTTGAAATAAGTTTTTTTAAGCAATTTAGTACATGACATATATTATATATACCTGATCAATTGCGGCAACTACATCAGCAACAAATCCTCCAAACAGCCTATAAAGTGCTTTGTACACAGCACTCCTAAAAAATATACATCAAGTGTTTAAACCAACATAAAAAACCGCATCAAAAGTTTCCAATCAAACAATAAACGATTAGAGTATTATTCAAACAATAAACACAATGAACTGATTATGTGCTGGTTGATGCAGAACAGAGTCAGTTCAAGGATCCTCATGTTAAACAATGGCTTGAAAACTTGAAAGATGCATTATTTGACACTGAAGAATTGGTCAACTTAATCAGCTACGATGCCCGACTAATTCACAGTAGTACTATCTTAATCTTTTCTTTCACCAACTTCAAACTCTGTTAGCATCTCTCATCTATTAAACACAAAATATCATTACAAAATGTTCAAATCACAGTAACTAAATAACATAGTCGATGTAATTCTAATATTAATAAGACGAGATATGATATGAAGCATGAGAATAGAGCAATAACAAAACCATAAAAGCACAAAGATTTTTCATCAATAACCATCTTTACTTGCATAGAAAACAGAAGTTCATCAATTAAGAAATACATACTTTGATTCACATCCTGCACCAGTACGACCAGTAATATGCATAGAAGGCAATGAATCCCATTTAACTTTAGGCAAAAATGCTCTAATCCTTGCTGGTGTGATTTCAAGACCTTTAAAGAAGCAATCATGTCTCCAGGTGAGCACTCTGAACTACCAAGTATAAGTTAAAAAATCAGCCCTCAAAAGAAGCCAAAACTAACACATACATTTCACTCATTCAGATTTCACAAACGCAAGTTAACAAAAATTGCAAACACCAACAATCCAAATTAACACTAACCAGGAAATCAGCAAACCAGAGTTTAAACTAGCCTCAAATGATGTAACAGAAAAACTAAAACATTAATCAAACACCGACCATAACCATTCGACTCATAACCATTTGCCTTGTATTTAGCACAACAAAATCCTCATCACATATAACACTAAAGTAAGTTATTGGCTTTGTAGAACAAATTCTCATCACATTTTGTAACTTATCTGCGCGTAAAGGTAGTTAAAAAAAACTTTAACTAATCTTTCTAACTAAAAAGTATTGTAGTTTTCCGCAAACCTGAGAAGTTATGTACCTCATCGCCGTTCAAATATCATAATGTCTAGCCACTTCGACGAGAAATAATCATCTACACGCAAATGCATTTCTGAGGTTAATTGTCTACACCCAAACTCATCACTCCATTCGACCACATCCGCACAGCTATGTTCACCATCAACTTGCAATCCTCCACACATACATGGAATTTCCAACCAGTTCGTTGAATAGAACCTGAAGCAACACATCAATGAAAAAATAGTGAGTTCTATTTACAACCAGTTCGTTGGAAGAAACAGAACATGAAACACAGATTTAACTGATATGTGGCAGAAAAAAAATAGTTCATAACCTACACTTTCAAACCACCAATTTCTTTCTCGGACAGCCTCTCCGCAATAACCTACATATAACCAAAGTTTCAAAACCCTAAAAGATTACATTTTTCCAATTAATATAACAAAACAAAGAAAACCCATGACTCAAAATCCAAAAAAAATTGAATTTTTCCAACAAAGATACCAAAAGATAGAAAACCCTAAAATTAAAATTCTGTAACTATCAAACCTACCATTGAATCAGAAGGTGTAGATTATTCAGACCCCAAATGGTGGATGGGGGTTCACAAATTCGACGAGAGCAACCAGACATCTGTAGAAAGACTTCGATCGTTTTTTTTTTTGGCTTCGGCTAAGGCTTAATAGCAAATCTAGATTTATTTTTGAAATCATAAAGCGATGTCGTAGAAGAAGAGGTAGAAGACAGAAGAAAAAAAGGAAAAATGAAAAAGATTAGAAGAGGAGGTAGAAAACAGAAGAAAAAGAAGCAGAACGAAGAAGGAAGGAAGGAAGATGTCGAAGAGAGAGAAATTGAGAAATAAAGACGAGTCAGAAAAAAAAAAAAGTAGAGTAGGTAAAAGCTGACATAATTTTTTTTTTGAATAATGGAGAGGTGGCACAATGTGGTTGCAGTGATAATGGTGTCTTTTCTAGAATCATTAAGTTCTTATATATGGTATCTAATTATTATTATTATTATAATATTAAAATAAAGTTAAAAGAAAATAAATAAATAAAGAGAATTATAGAGAAATGGGGTGTATAAAAGTGAATTTTTTTTACAATCATCAGGTATTAAAAAAAAAAATCGCAAATAATCATGTTTCGGAAAAAATTACGCAAATAATCATGTTTCGGATGACTCCTCAAAGGAGGAGTCATCTCCCTTGGCGCCTCCACCTAGGGTTTTGTCCTAGGCGCCATCTCACCTGGCGCCTCCTCTCTCTTTTAGTCAAGTGAGATGGCGCATGCACTTTAAAAGTGAGAGGAGGCGCCATCTCACTTGGCTCCTACGGTAAAATGCTGTTTTATAAATAATTTGTCTGTTTTTCCGTCATTTCTCACACTTTCTCGCACTATTTTTTTATTTTTTACTCTGTTATTTGCGTCATGACGTCGCCCATGATTTTTACCAGAGACGGTTACGTTATCTTCTCCGCCACGAAATCTACGATGAAAATGAAATGCTGGCACATTCACTCTATGGAGCGTCTGAAGCGGGAGTTGATGCGATGGTTAGATGGAGACATTGCGAAGGAGGAAAAAATTCGAAGCATCCAGCGAAGACGAACAACAACCTCACATGCGACAAGAATACCTAATGTATGGTTGGAGGAAGTCAAAACAGACAGCGATGTAATGTTGATGATGCATGGGTCAGATGAAATTGTGTTAACAATTGTAATTTCATAGACGAAATATCGTGTATTTTTCTTGTACGCGCAATATTTATTGTAGCAAATACTGTTAACGAAAAACCCTAATGTTTACAACATAATTAAGGAAAGATTTTATGTATTACAATTTTTATAAGGTCGAGGCAGACGTCCGATTCGGGCAATTTTTGTGATTGTGTCCAACCTGACGGTATAAACCACACTTTCTTTCCAGCTTGTCAAGATCGTCCATTTCTGTTGTGATGCCCTTACTTTTGGGACGACCCTTCTTGTTCCTTCGCATTTGGTCATTGTGCCACACTATTTCGCCGTCGTATGCAGGCCAATAATCTGGTTTTGCTACTAAAGGAAAGTTGTTGTTGTAAACGTTGAGCAACGTTTCAGATTTGTAAATGTGTGACAGAAGTTGCAGCGCGTCTTGATGGGTATAAGCACAAGCGGCAATGACATGAGAGCAAGGCATACGAAATGCTTGAAACCTTCCAAAATCGCACCAACGAGAAGGTAGTATGACCCTATATTCTTGTCTTGGCAGGCCTTCATTGTGGTCGATTGTTTCTTTCACAATGAAGTTGTGGTTGTGTCGGTCAAACCGTATAACCATATGAGTGTTGGCTTAGGCACTTTCTGCCTTAATGTACTTCATGCAGCTTTCACTCCATAGTTGTCCAGATTGCAACACCGCATTCCATATTTCACCTCTTTTGGCAAACAACGAAGTCATCCTAAAATACGTAGATTTTACCAATGCAGTGATCGGGAGGTTTCGTATGCCTTTGAATACCCCATTCATCGATTCAATAAGATTCGTTGTCATGTGCCCCCATCTTTGGCCATTGTTGTATGACCTAGTCCATTTTTCCACAGGAATATTGTCGATCCACCTACCGGCTTCCAGATTTGACAAACGGATCTCGTTGCAGTAATATTTGAACGTGGGTTGTGTCAATGCATATCCCGCATTTATAACCGCTTTCCTTAGTGTTTTGTCCTTGATCTCCCTCGTGAAATTCTAGACGATATGCCTAACGCAATAGACATGCGTAGAATGAGGGTCATGCCAACCATTTGCAGGATTATTGTAGGAACTTTCAATGGAGGCATGTATGTCCGAGATCAAACAGAGATCTGGTTGAGGAGCCACGTGTGCTTGCAGGTTTTTCAGAAAAAAGCTCCAAGCACCACTGGTCTCCCCCTCGACTAGGGCAAAGGCAATGGGGAAAATGTTGTTGTTGCCATCTTGTGCAACTGCCATCAGTAGCGTGCCTTTGTATTTCCCATACAACCAAGTCCCATCAATTTGTATAATTGGTTTGCATGATGCAAACCCTGTGATGCAAGGTTGAAATGCCCAAAAACTCGACTGAATATTTCGTTGCCGTTTAGTTGACTACCATCTTGGGCGTATGCTGGCACTATTTCCAGAACATAAACAGTACCCGGAGAATACGTCTTGAGTGCATTCAGGTAGCGAGGAAGTTCTTGGTATGACTCCTCCCAGTTTCCGTACACCTTTTCAATCGCCTTAGTCTTTGCTAACCACACCTTACGGTAAGACGGAGTATAGTTAAAAACCATGGTGATGTGGGAGATGATTGTTTTCACCTTCAAAGATGGGTCGTTGCTGACCAGTGGTAGGATTTCTTGACAGATGAGATCGTAATTAAGTTTTCGGTGGTCCTGTGATTGGGTAGAACTTACATAAGTGTGGGTAGTCATGGAACCTATGACCCATCAATCACCTCTTAATATGTATGATGCAGTGAGCTTGAACATACAATCAGGGTGGACACACTTGATCTTGTACCTTTCTGGGTTGACACGGTCCACCTTAAAATTGATCGAGTTGAGCATGTGGAATTTTTTTATGGCTCTGATGCATTCCTCTCTGTTACGAAACTTGTCCTTCTCTTTTAAGTTTTCATCCGACTGCATATACGGATTGAAAAATAAATCAGTAGGCGGTTCATCTATGCCCATGTTGAAGTTTGTCATGTGCGGAGGTGGTATGTAGATCTCGTTTGCAGGAATACTAGGTATGCCATCATCGTCGGAATCATCATTCACCATTTCATCAAACTCTAACTCGTCATCTTCTTCTTCATCATCAACTGCATCTACCTCAGCTTGTTCGTTCTCCAAAGGATCAACCACTTGTGTCACTTGAGGCTCTCGCAGCATAATGTACAACTCAATAGAGTCGTACCCAGAATACACATGGCTGGAAAACATATTCTAGAGATCCTCGTCATCTTGAACCTCAACCTTATAAAAAATTATTTGGTTGTTTCCAAAAAAAACTGGATTCTGATAAAATATTTGTGTCACCGGGCCTCGTCCAAGTTTGGCCTCAAATCATTTTTTGAAGTACGAGAAATTGGCTTTCCCGTTTAAAAGAAATTGGATGTTGTCTGTGTCTCTAAACAAAAACCCAGAGGTGGGACAAATGTATGTCTCACCGTTGACATGTGCATTGATGACACATTGTGGTGCAGAGGCCATTGCGTAGGGTTGTTTGAAGGTTTGAAGGTTGGAATGTTTGAAGTTTATGAGTTATTCGAAGGTTTGTATGTTTGAAGTTTATTTATTGTATGAAGGTTTGAAGGTTGTAAGGTTTGAAGGTTGGAATGTTTGAAGTTTATGAGTTATTCGAAGGTTTGTATGTTTGATTGTTTGAAGGTTTGAAGGTTTGATTGTATGAACGTTTGAAGGTTGGAAGGTTTGACAGATTAAGTGAATCAGTGTTATGATAAATGAAAGACTAAATAGGTCATATTGAATTTGAATTAAGTAAGGATGTAACCCCCAAGGCTGCCAATAGTGTTACATGCATTCAGGCATGGCATCCTAAAGGCTGTCACGTAACCTGCGCCTACTCTGCAACCAATGACACCTCTTATTCGCCAATAGGGATGGCGACACCTTTCATTTTTGTACTCTTTCGCCAAGTCCAATGGCGTCTCCCTTAATGTCTAATCGTGTTACATGCATGTAGATATGTAACCCCCTAGGCTTCCACCTAGCATGCGCCTACTCTGCACCTACACTGTAACTTATAAGTCTCCTCTCATCACCTCCAATAGTGTTACATGCATTCAGGAATGGCATCCCAAAGGCTGTCACGTAGCCTACGCCTACTCTGCAACCAATGACACCTCTTATTCGCCAATAGGGATGGCGAAACCTTTCATTTTTGTACTCTTTCGCCAAGTCCAATGGCGCCTCCCTTAATGTATAATCGTGTTACATGCATGCAGATATGTAACCCCCTAGGCTGCCACCTAGCCTGCGCCTACTCTGTACCTACACTATAACTTGTAAGTCTCCTCCCATCACCTCCAATAGTGTTACATGCATTCAGGCATGGCATCCCAAAGGCTGTCACGTAGCCTGCGCCTACTCTGCAACCCATGACACCTCTTATTCGCCAATGGGGATGGCGACACCTTTCATTTTTGTACTCTTTCGCCAAGTCCAATGGCGTCTCCCTTAATGTTCAATCGTGTTACATGCATGCAGATATGTAACCCCCTAGGCTGCCACCTAGTCTGCGCCTACTCTGCACCTACACTGTAACTTGTAAGTCTCCTCCCATCACCTCCAATAGTGTTACATGCATTCAGGCATGGCATCCCAAAGGCTGTCACGTAGCCTGCGCCTACTCTGCAACCTATGACACCTCTTATTCGTCAATGGGGATGGCGACACCTTTCATTTTTGTACTCTTTCGCCAAGTCCAATGGCGCCTCCCTTAATGTCCAATCATGTTACATGCATGCATATATGTAACCCCCTAGGCTGCCACCTAGCTTGCGCCTACTCTACAAGAGTGACACTTC